TGTGCGAGACGAACATGGCTCCCACCACAAAACAATATACTAACTAGGCAAGTACCATTCCTGAGTTTTTAAAATCAAAACGTCGTAAAAAATACCGCACAAAAAGCACAATCATAATCAGACGGTAGGCTAAGACTACAATAGATGCATTTATCGGTTTTTTAAAGTGAGTTTTTATGACAACCAGATGTAAGATACTTAAGTTATGCGAAAAAAAGAAGAGCTAGCTCTAAAAGCCTTACAAAAAATACCAGTTTTTTTAAATTCTTATTTATTGCCTGTGTATCTGATGAGATTCGGAACACAAGTCAAACGGTTGAAAAAATTAATTTGTTAAGGTATGGAAACTATTTGGTGGGACACATGCAGATTTCCCTTTATGTTTTTAATTAAAAATTGTTTTTGTTGTGGAAAAGATTTGTTCATTCAGCAGTTTGTATAAAAACCTCGTTATTGATTAAACCCCATTTTATTTATTTAAGCATACGATATTTAGTGGATACTTATGTACATATGTATGAGGCATGAGGTATGAGACATATCATCAGGGAGGAACAAGTTTATAGCAGTGATTGGCCGAGCCCAACCCTTGGGGAAGGGCACTAATACTGGACTTGGGGAAGTGTGGGCTGGTTCTGCCACTTAGCAACTATCATCAGAGGCGGAGCGGGGCATAGGGCTTGGGGCAGCTTGGCGAAAAGCTTAAATTACCCGCTCAATTAAACTTTAAGCAACTTGGAAGAAGGTGGGCTCCAAGAAAAAAGGGTCTGGGGCGAATATAAGCGCAACTTCAAAGACCTTTCCCCGTTTGACGTGCAGCCTCGCAGAAAATTCAGTGAAGCCATCGACAACGCAACGACACAACGTGACACAACCCAAAGGCGCTGAGCTTGAGGCGTGTCAGCGTCTGAGCGGAGGCCAACGCCCAGACCCCTGTGCGCTGTGTCTAGTCATTATGACTTTGCGAGATGTGGGATGCGGCCTGCAAAGCAAATAAAGTAATTCTCCCGATAAACTGATAAACAAGTAAATATATGTACATTGACATTTTTGCCTACCTCCCTCGGCTCGGCTCCCTCCTGGCGACGCTCGTTTAAAGTTTATTGAATCTACAATTAATTTAAAATGTTGAGGGGGTTTTACGTTGTGGGCGACTTTTTCTCATGGAATAGTAGGGGTTTCGGAAATCAAGAAAAAATACAATGAATACAATGAATAGTTGAGCAGGCACCCAAGAATCTGACCACTAACCAAATAGTATAGTGGTTTTTATTTGGTTATACTATTTGGTTAGTGATCTGACCCACAATCCTCTTACATTTTTTGTCTGATATTCGATTTTTGACGACGAGTTATCCTGCCTCCCATTAGTCTTTCAGTTTCTAGATAAACTAAAATCACTAATAGATATTTCAAATATCATACTTAAAATGGGGCGCAGCATACATCTGGGCTGACGTGGAACACGCCACATGCCGCCAGCACACACACATGCCATACACAAGTGCAGTCTTCCGACAGACAACGTGAAGGCAAAGTGGAATACAATATTTAAAATTGAGCATACATCAGCAAAGGTCAGCCTGGCAGGAGGACAGTAGGTTATGCAGCGGACAGCACACGTAGACCATTAAAAAACACTTAGAAAAACAACAAAAGTCATTTAAACTTTCAGCCAACTTTTTTACCAACCTCTCGCTCTTCGAGGAAAAAAATGAAATGTGAAATTAAGAGATGTGTGTAAGAGGCAGGGAGGCTGGGAGCCACGCGAGATATGTATGTATGTGAGTATGTGCATACAAGTAGACATGGGGATATGGGGATGTGTATGTGTATGTGTTCCGGACATGGAGTCGGTCTCTTTGTTTGCACTGACCCATGACTTGGTTGGGGATGTGAGCATCACAAAGGGCGAACTTTCCTCGCTATCCTCGTCGATGTACATTTAAGCAAAAGTTTCTTCCTCGTTTCCCAGGGTTTACGAATGGAAGTGGGTGGTGTGCGGGTTTTCAGGGCACTTTTAATTCAGTTGCACTTTTATCCGCCGCACGGCATCAAGTTGATATACAAAAGGAAAAGAAGCAGCAAGAGAGTGCAGAAATAAATGTAATTTTCGCGCGCGTTTTCCTTCGGCCTTAAGTGAGTTAATTGAAATCATTTACATTTAATTGCACTTTAAATGAGTTAATACGTGGCCCCAGTTGGGTGTGCTAACTGCGTGGAGTGCTTTGGATATCGGAAGGTACGAGTATTCGAGCAACCGTTCACATTTCGTTTAGGTTTCGCTGGCGTTCGCAAAGCAACTGTCGACAACTCCAGTCAATGTAAATCAAGGCACTGAGGAGGTGTCCCTGTCCGTGTTCTGCCACGCTATGTCTGACGTTACGCTACGCCGCGTTACACTATCCATAGCACCGATTGACCAGGTTCATGCATGCATAAAGTATGTGTGTACGTACATATGTATGTACATTCATACATATACGTATTAGCCTATGTGTATATGTGTACATGACGTGTATGTGAATAATATTCAAATTGGCCACTCAGCACCATAGTCTTGAGGCGCCACTCTCTCTACGTCTCTCTCTCTTTCTCTTTGTAAGTGTACAAGTCCACTCTTTGTATTCATTCACTCACATTCTTACATTCGCGAGTTCTGCTTGTGTA